CTGACCTTTAGTCAACTGGAAAAGAATTTGCCTTCTGGTCTGACACTGAGGCTATGTCTAGACTGCAGGCTTCTTTCGGAAGAAGCTTTTCCAGAAGATCTTCAAAAAAAAACTTCTGAAAGAACATCTGCACAGCAAAAGCGCATCAAAAAAGCGATCTGCTTGTTCAAAAGATAGCATCCACACTGAATGGACTCTCTCTCACATTTAGTCAACTGGAAAAGAATTTGCCTTCTGGTCTGACACTGAGGCTATGTCTAGACTGCAGGCTTCTTTCGGAAGAAGCTTTTCCAGAAGATCTTCAAAAAAAAACTTCTGAAAGAACATCTGCACAGCAAAAGCGCATCAAAAAAGCGATCTGCTTGTTCAAAAGATAGCATCCACACTGAATGGACTCTCTCTCACATTTAAGCTGTGATTACTATGGAAGGAGTTGCCACCAGGGCACCTATGCTTTTTGTTCTTTCCTCTTCTTGTGAAAGAACTCCCTCTTCCCCATCCACACACGGTTCGTAAAAAGGCTTCTTCCTCGTAGAAAGAGGTTTACCAATGTCAGAAAAAACCCTCTGTTCCTTTGATTTTTTCCCGAAAGAATGCGATTGCAGTGTGGACGTAAGCAAGGTTTTCTTGGAAAAATGGCTGTTTTTCTGAAAAAACTCCGCAGTGTAGACATGCCCTAAGGTTCTCATTCCAGAGTCGGTTCCAGGAGCTCGATTTTGTAATACAGGTTGAACCTCTCTGGTCCAGGATACTCTAGCCTGGCAATATCCCTGCCCCTGGACCAGATAGCCCTGGCGGTTGAGAGCAGGAGCTGGCAGTGGAGGGGCTGGGAGCAGAGGCAGAGCAGGGCTGGGAGTAGAACTAGTCTAGTGGCCAGGGCCAGCAGTGGAGCTGCTGGGGAACCAGGGGCCAGGAATGAAGCCAGTTCCATGATCAGGGGCAGCATGGCTCGTCCTGTGGCCAGAGGTTCGGAGCCCAGTCAGGGCTGACAGCAGAGTCAGAGCTCGGTCAGAGGGGCTGGGAGAGGAGAGAGCCAACAGCTTTGTGCCCTGCTGGGGGCCAGAAGCTTGACCAGGGCCAGCAGCAGAAGCTGGTGGCCAGGGCCAGCAGGGGAATCGGTGGCTATGAGGGCTGTCAGCCTCTGGGGAGAGCCAGAAACTGGCAGCAGAGGGGCCAGAATTGACTATCCTTGGTCCAGCAAACTCCCTCATTTTTGACCAGTCAGGTTCCCAGGGTGCCAGACCACAAAGGTCGAACCTGTAATAACAAAGCTGGATAATGCTACATATTCTACCCTTGTTTAGTGGACTACCATGGAATACTTAATTCAAAATCCTGTAGCCCATAAAGTCTAGGATGTAGCCTCACTAGCTTTGGATGGGCCCCTTTAAACTTTAGAACAATTATTCTACATTTTTATTTAAATAGATTAAAGGGTTTTTTTAGCCCAATTCACAAAAGAATCATCTCCTAGAAAGATAACCCCATTCTTCCTATTTATAGTAATCGGCTGTGTCTATATTGGCACCCCTTTCCGGAAAAGGGATGCTAATGAGACCAGTCGGAATTGCAAATGCCGCGGGGGATTTAAATATCCCCCACGGCATTTGCATGAACAGGGCTGCCGCTTTTTTCCGGCTCGGGGTTTTGCCGGAGAAAAGCGCCAGTCTAGACGGGATCTTGTGGAAAATAAGCCCTACTTTCAAGGGGTGCCAATGTAGACACAGCCTACTTTCAAGTAGGAATAAGGGATCTTCTGGAAAAGGGCTTATTTTCTGCAAGATCCTGTCTAGACTGACGCTTTTCTCCGGCAAAACCCCGAGCCGGAAAAAAGCGGCAGCCATGTTCATGCAAATACTGTGGGGGATATTTAAATCCCCCGCGGCATTTGCAATTCCGACTGGTCTCATTAGCATCCCTTTTCCGGAAAGGGGTGCCAATGTAGACACAGCCATCATGTGTTCTTTGTATTACTCCTCAGAATCTGCAGATAAAGTGTTGAGCTGATCCAGTGAGCTCTGCACAAAGTGGGACTGTCATTGAGTCAAGTGGTGGTTGCATGTATGGAAGGCTTGCAGAATTGGGGTTTTAGGGCTTGCCTACACAGCACCTGGAGAGGTGAGATTTATAAAACCCTTTGATATGTTACACCATGTAGATTAGCCCTAAGTGTAATATTAAGATGTACTGCACTAATAGTACAAAGCTACACTAGCCTTTACATGTATAATCATGCAATTTTAATTATTTAAATATATTTCAAACATGATGGGCCAGATTCCTTGGTCTAAATGATTGGTGGGAGACTCGGATTGTATTTCTAGCCCTGGTCACTTATTCCATGGGCTAATAGGAGCAGAGAGTCCTGCAGAGAAAATGCATTCAGTCCTTGGAAGGAAGGAGGGATCCATAAGGGATGGATACAGGAAATAAGAATTCTTTAGTGCTTAGAGGGCTATGAAGAGCTGCAACCAGGGAAAATGGCTGCATTTCAGTTTTTCCTTTTCATACTTCAGGTGGAGCTCAACATCATGTGGAAAAAAAAATCATAGAACCATTAGGAGATACTAAAAGAAGGGCCTCTCTGATCCACACCAGCTGAAACCTATATATTTTTCATCTTGCCCTAGTTGGAAATAGAAAGATTGTAGGAACTACAAACCATGTTCTTGATGTACAGAGGAATGGTCCTACAATGAGGTTAATGTTTAATCTAACTTCTGCTTTAAAAAGGAGTTTTGTTATAACAGACTTCATTATAAAGCAGTTTTAGCTGTAGTCTACTCTGGCTACCTTCTTGGACATTGAACCTGTGTAATACAAACTATTTATGTTAATAAATGAAAGGGTAATGGAAGTGATCAAAAGATCTATATAGGGAACCATTAGTACATACATAGTCACAGTTTAAATAGCTGTCAACCAGCTTGTACAGTTAAAATACAACCATAGCACCATATTTACAAAGTTAGTACCATCTGCTGGTTTGCTAGAGTCTTAATCTATTTTTATGGCTAATTAGATTACACTGTAGTGCTTTCAAAAATTGCCTGAACATCGTTTACAAATATACACTTATAAAAAGAAATGTTATCAAAATGGCTGTCATTTGAAACAGCAATCTGTATTACAAAAGTTATAAAAACACCATTAGCTATGGATAAAAAATGCTTCGAATTTAGATTTTTCATAGGCACTCTATGAACTAAAATGTAGCCTTGTTTCACAGCTCTTAGTTTAAGCATTTCCCTATGTGAGTAGATGTTACCAAATTGCTAACTGATTTTAGATACAAGCAAAACAAAAAAAAAAAAAAAAAAATCGCCCATCAACCAGAAGCATCATCATTTACAGTTTTAACTTTTGTCTAGTTTATACATATCCCACTTAAAATAACATTGTTTTGATTTTCATCAATTTTTTAAAATTATCCCATTGCCTTCTTAGGGCTTAGTTCCTTCTTTCCCAGAATTCGGTGCAGGCTAGCTGACATGTAGTAGGGTTTTGCTGTGGATCCATCATTTCTTTCCAAATCTTCACCTGAATTTGCATCAGCAAAAGCAGCCAAAGCAGCAAGCAGCAATGCAATCAAACAAAATACAAACATAAAAGGGTAGAGAATTGAACAGGGGAAAAAGCAGAAAAACCAACATTAGAAAATCTGAGATCAGACAATTCAACTGCCACTTTTAAGTTGCTAGTGGACACTGGGAAAGCAAAAAGGTTCAATTTTTTTTTCCAAAGTCAGGAGAGATTTTACACCAAAACAAACATCAGTGCAGGGCTACACTGACATTCTAAAGTTATGCACATCAATCCTTTTAATTCTTCCAGTTCTTTTGTTTAAAAATTGCACAGAAGGACAATGGGAGCCTGGCATTGTGGTGCGTTGTTTTTTAAAATCTGTCCAAAAGTGAGATACAAGAAACTGCTGAAATTTGAGCACTTTTGAAAATCTGTTCCTAAAGGGAAGCAGAGCTCTTCTGAAAATCTTCCCCCATTAGTGCACAATGTTTTGCTCCTATAACACACAGCTGTAAATGACATGGGAAGCAGAGTAGAACTCAGGGTTCAAATAATGGCATGAAGACTCAGAGTTTTGCTATACTAGCAAAGAAACTTACAGGAAAAATATTAATTTTCCCATTAACTTTAATGCATTTCCCTTCTACCTCTCCTCCCCCAAAAAGAGGTTCAAACAGTGAATGAACTAGTGAAAACTAGGCACTATCTACAGAGCTGTGACATAATAATAATAACCAGCAGTAACTCCATACCACCACAGGTTATAACAGAATTATTTGTATTCTTCTGAAGAATGCTCAAGTCTGAATAGATTTGCTGTGCCTTGATTGCACTGTAATATTTTGCATGTGCATACAGACACTTGCATCAGAGATCCTACAGCAGTTTGCAAAGACAGATGAGAATTTTATTGAGTGGGAAAATGAGACCTTGAGCCATGTGATCTTCATGGGGCTGCTTGTGTAGATCATTTTTCAGGATTCAAGTCTAAATGTCACAATGAATCAGTAGCACAGATCAAATTAAAAAAAACCCTCTGGTCTCCTGACACCTAACCCTACTCCAAGGCGAACTGTTAGCTTCTCCCAAGGAGCGATCCACCCACCACTCACACCCATGCCTGTAGCATGCTTGACCATTTAAAAGGGCCCCGTGTGCTTCCCTGCCATCACTACTGCAGCAATGACCAGAGCCCTTAAGCCCTTTTAAATCACCCTGGCCATTGGGCAGTTGCCCTGTTTGCTCACTCCTTCAACAAGCGGATCTGTTCTGAACCAATGGAGAAGAAAACCGATTGATTCTTGTGAGCCAATGAACTCCTCCCTTCCGATTCCTCTCTTAGATCAGTGGATTACTCCTGATCTATAGTAGTGTAAAAGGAAAAACAGGCCCATTACAACAATTAAATACTGATGGTTATTAAAGCTGGTTGGAGGTAGCCATGTGAAGGACTAGTCGACCAGTCGCTTCCCCCCGCCTTGCTGCCTCTATCATGCAGGGAGCGGAGGGAGTATTTCAAAGTGGCTGTGCCATCTGAAGCCTGGGGCCAGATCCAGGGCTCCACTCAGCGCGGCCGCTTTGAAATGCTGCATGCAATCTGGGGCCAGCTGGGGTGTCCCCAGGCTGTATGCGGTGTTTCAAAGCAGCAGCACCACAGGGATCAGCTAGGGACTCCCCCGCTGATCTCAGGCTCCATGCAGCGCTGCCACTTTGAAATGTTGTGGGGAGCCCAGCATTAGGCTGCACCTGGCATTTCAAAGCAGCAGTACTGCATGGAGCCCAGGATCACTCCTCACGGTGTTTCAAAACAGCAGTACCACACTCAGCACAGGATCGGCAGGGGAGTCCCTGCTGACCTCAGGCTCTATGCAGTCCTTAGAGCTGTTGCTACACTTCAAAGGTGCAGATGCCGTATAAACTAATCAATTTGCCTTATTCTGGTGACACCCCAGCATGCCAATGTGCTCCAAGCCACGTGTCACTGGGGTTCTGGCATATTCCAAGGGAACGGAGGCTCCACATAGCAAGGGCTACACTTGGGGCCCAATTCACTACTTTGTTTCTACCTATGGGGCTAAATTTACCCTGATGGAGTTAGGGAAGGAGACTAAGCCCCTAAGTTGTGCTTACCTGCCTCAGCGTCCCATTGCCACAATGTGCACTTCAGAACCCTTGGCCAGGAAAATAATGCAGCCAGATGCAATGTTGCCCAGGACAACATACTCCATCTCTGACCTGCCAGGACTGCTCTCATTACAGCAGAATCCAATCTTTATGGTTTAAGTTTCATTAAGTCAGGCAAATGGAATGAGCTCCCTGTAGCGAGCACACCTTGTTCTTATAATTAGGGTTTAAACGGAGACCAATTGATTTCTCTGGTGATTTGAGTATTCTCCCATCAAACCTGCCCCTAATTGCCTCCCCTTCAAGAGTCAGCAAATGTTTGTTCTGGGGTCACAAGGGACTGACAGTTTTAAACTGGTATTTTAAGGTAATTTCATGTGAAATCAGCATGAAGCTTTTGTCGTGGTTATTAGTACAAAACCAAAAGGACAGTTACATTATCAGCCACATAAAGCATTTGCTGCAGGAAAACACCTGACTGCAAAGCCCACTGGCATTAGTAAGATGTTTGAGTGAACTTGCTGAACACAGCTGGTTACAAAGCACCCAGAAGCAAATTGTTAGTAAAAATTAGGAAACCTTTAATAAACAAAAAGCCAGATACATTTCATTAGCTTGACAAATTGGCTAATGAAGGCATATCTGATCACTGAGCTTTACAATCCCCTTGGTAGTAAAATTAAAGCAGCTGTATTAAGAACAGCAGCAATTCCTCATTCCCACAATATGCCAGCATGTTACATGAATTCTGTAAGGAATGTGACAAGATGGCTCTTTACCTGCATGTCACTGGAATGCCAATGAAAGAGGACTCAATACTTACAAAAGCAGAGGAAAAGCGTATCAACGCACATTGCATAGACGCTGAAGAACCCGTGTGCAATTAGGTAAGAGCCAATAATGACAGTCTGTAATGAAAACCCAAACACACATACATTTGACACCAGGGATATTAAAGACAAGTTAACTAGACACAGCAGCGCTGCCACTTTGAAACCCTAAGGCAGCAGCTTCACACCCGATTGGTGGATCAGCTGTGCAGCGGCTGCCCCTTTAAAACACCGCCTCTGCAAAGTGGCACCCTGGAACCTGGGGTCAGCTGGAGAGTCCTCAGCTGATCCTGGGCTCCCCGCGGCATTTCCCCGGAACCCGGGATCAGCTGCGAAGTCCCCAGTTGACCTGGGGTTCCGGGGAAGTGCTGCGTGGAACCCGGGGTCAGCTGCGAACTTCCCAGCTGATCCGGGGTTCTGGGGAAATGTTGCAGGGAGCCTGGGATCAGTTGGAGAGTCCCCAGCTGACCCGGGCTCCACAGCAGCTACCCCTTTGAAATGCACGGATGTGGAAATTTAAAGGGGCAACCGCCACACAGCTGATCCCCAGATCAGCTGTGCGGCGGACTGCTCCTTTAAAATGCCATCTCTGCACAATTCAAAGGGGCAGCCCTGGAGCCCGAGGTCAGCTGGGGACTCCCCAGCTGATCCTGGGCTCCCCGTGGCATTTCCCCAAGACCCAGGATCAGCTGGGGAGATCCCCAGCTGACCCCGGGCTCTGCGCAGCACTTCCTCTGATCAGCTGTGCGGCAGCTGCCCCTTTAAAATGCTGCCTCAGGCGTTTCAAAAGGGAAGCTGCCGTGGAACCCAGCTGATCCTGGGCTCCCCTCCGCACTGGAACCCGGGATCAACTGGGGACTCCCCAATTGACTCCGGGTTCTGGGGAAATGCTGCACGGAACCCAGGATCAGCTGGGGAGTCCCCAGCTGACCCTGGGCTCCTCTGCTGCTCCTTTGAAATGCTCGGAGGCGGCGTTTTAAAGGAGCAGCCACCGCACAGCTGATCGGCTGCCCCTTTGAAATGGGGGCGGCGTTTTAGGAGCAGCCACCGCACAGCTGATCGGCTGCCCCTTTGAAATGGTGGCTTGGGGTTTCAAAGTGGCAGTGCAGCACTACCACATTGAAATACCCTCCCCCCCCTTTTTTGCCTCATAGAGGCAGCAAGGGCAGGGGGAATTGACTACTCGACTAGTAAAAAGACTATCCGATAATCAAATGCTTATTGGATAGTCAATTAATCTTCAACATCCCTAACTTGGACAAGTTCCCTCTGTGCTTCAGTTCCCCAACTGTAAGATGAGGATGATTGTACTTCCTTACCTAGCTGGTGTTGAAGATAAATACATTAAAGATAGAGGCGTTTAGATATTATAATAGAGCTATAGAAATGCATAGGACTGGTATGTATGTTAGAATGTATAGGAAGCGCACTTAGTGATGACCTATATATTGTAAATATGATTCTATGTAATGGGATCTAATGTTGTTGTTTCAAAAATTTAGGAAATGACCTGTAAAGTAAAAATCAAGTGTTCAAAAGTTAGGAAATGTTCACATTGAGATTGCCAGAGACAAATCTAGGGACATATGCATTTTTGAGGTTTTGGGGAATCGCTCAAACCAGTCCAGGTGTGTGCTTACCATCTGTCATATAACTTTCTGTGGTTTAAATACTCACCACGGCATGACTTCAGTAGCCCTTCCAGTTCTGAATCTCTCAAGATCCATCTTCCTCAGGCTCTTAAGTACCAGAGGCTGATTTTTCACATCTTGTTTGTCATTCCCACAGGAATGAAACCTGCACCCCAGTTGTTGTTTCTCTTTTGGGGACACACTATGCACCATTTGCCCGACATGGGCCCGATTGGGGTAAAAATAAATGTTTATTTAATGGAAAAATCACAGGTTCAAAGATGAAGATAGAAAGGAAATAAACACTTTCAAGTTGTAGAGAAATTAAACATAGACACAGCCTCATATTTTACATTTACCTATTAGATTAATATCCCTTTTCTAATACAAGTTATTTACTGCTTTTGCTCAGGTTCACAAATTACCCCATAACCCAGGGATGGGCAAAAGGGCCTCCATGGGCTAGATTCAGGCCACCAAGTGGGTTGATCTGGCCCACGGAGGTCCTGCCACCCCCTTGCCAATCAGGGCCTAGGGATGGAGGAGTATGTGGTGCTTAGAGTCAGCCCTGGCAGTTGAATCTCAACTTCCTTGCAGGGTTAGGGCATGGCGAGAGGAGATTTTGCATGTTCCCCTCGCCCCCAAATCCTGGGGGAGAGGGAAGCATGCAGTTTCCTCCCGCCCTGCAAGGGCCTTGACACTTAAGTCAACTGCCACCTGCTGCTCAGCTGGTGGATGACCGTAAGTGCAGTGCTCCCTTGCAGGGCGGGGGCAGACTTCACATGCTTCCCCTGCTCCCAGGCCCTGATTGACATGGGGGTGGTGGGGAGAGCGTGCAAAGTCTCCTCCCATTGCCAGGGACATAGGTGCCTAGAGGGAACTGCCAGCTGTTCTGAACAGCTGGCGGTTCTGTCTGAGAGATCAGGGGTAAAGACTTCATGTTCTTCTCCACCCGCAGACCAGTTAGGGTCTGTGGGCGGG